ATTTATAACAAATTTTTAATTAAATTTTTAATATAATTAAAAATATCTCGTGAGGATTCAAAAATTCAAAATTAACATTAATATCTCTCCACGATTTATAGAAAATAGCAAGTTCTCCCATACGGTTTGTTTCGTATTGAATAAACCATTTGATAACGTCGAAAATTCCATTATAAAGATAATCACGTACTCAAATATAACTTTTCGTAGCCAATCAAATGTATGATCTTTATGTTTATCTTCGTTATCTTCGTGGAAAGTGGACGAGTGATCTCCATTCTTGATCGGTGCAAAAGAAAAGAAAAAAAGTGTAAAAGATATCAACTTTTCTTTGGAAAATACGCATTATCTTTTCGACAGAGTTGACGATAAGAAGGAAAAAGTTCTTTAGTATGTCAAAAAAAGATGAGATAGTTTGCCGATTTGTTTGATGGAACGCTCCTTTTCAAGTTACATTGATGATAAATCAATATATATGAATAGCATAGTTAAACAAATAATCATTATCAATCATGATCCTATCCTGAAAATTAGGGTAGAAACGTTTACATATTTTTAATACGAAGACTTTCTGTTGTTATCGAGACTATCTGGATAACGATGATTTTTGGAGGGCGAGATGTAGAATTCAGAATATACGTGTAGAATTCTTACTGAGAGATTATAAAAATACTACAACCGTGATTTCGAAGTCAAACGTGTTTTCCCATACGCTTTTTGTTTATTAAGCTCGAAATCGACACACTCATGTTTCGTTAAGAGAAACCTAAATAAAGCTTTTTATCATGTCAAATTTGTATTACAAGTAGTTACTGCTATTTTCGATCTTATGTTTGAATGATAATTCTTGCATAAGAGTTAGACTTATATAAGAACAAAGAATTGGGCCAACACTCAGGACTGGGCATGTATTTGAGATACTTTTATTCAAAAACAGTATTTGTAACACAATTGTATTTGTAACACAATTGTATTTGTATTTTGTATTTCAGTGAAACATATGAAAATATTTTATATTTTATATTTCAGTGGATCACATGAAAATATTTTGTATTTTGTATTTTAAATCAAAATATTGAAAGTATTTTATATTTTGTATTTCAAATATTAAGATTGATAATAAATCTTATTATTTGAATTACAAAATACAAAATACTTTTATGTGCTTCGCTAAAATACGAAACACAAAATACAATTGTATTACAAATACTGTGTTTAAAATAAAAGTATTTCAAATGTCCCTGCTAATCAATCAATTATTCGATCTTCTCAGACATATAATCAGTTTTTTTCATTGATATAATAATTATCGTATTAGTATATTCCTGAGAGGCGAAGATTCTAAAATAATTTTCCCTTGATACGAAATAAAGTTTAACAAATAAAGATATAACGGAAGTTTAAAACATTTGACATATCGTGTAACTACCTACGCGAGTAATAAATTGCAACCCGGAAGATCTGCAAACTGCCACAATAATGCAGAGTAAATTTGGATGCGACTTACGATCACGTGGAAGCTTCGGTACTTTGGGGGATTACTCGAGTCTTACGTAAGCCGATTGGTCGGAAAATAGATTGGAATCGCTCCGGTTAGCGCAAGTGAAGGTATACAATCAGCCGTTCACCAAAATACACCTGTAGATACATACATACATGATAACCGCGTTTTGCGTTTGCCTAGTCATTTACGTTAAGGATTCTAATATACTTATACACAATGTAAATATAACTGTAGTGTTCAACTGTGTTTCTGTTTCAGTTAAAGATCGAAGTTTTCGATTAGATTTCGGTTTTAATCGAAATTAAAAGGGACATATAATTGAAATTGATTAAGTTATAATTTAAAAAAGATTTTTATTTTATATTTTATATCTTGTAATTTTATTATTAGTGAGATAATATATAATTTTGATATTATATTACACATATAATACATTATAAATACAAATATTAATAGAATATAGATAATAATAGAATATTGTAATATTAGGATGATAATAATGTGTAATTATTGTTTCAATAATTAAATTATGATATTAATGATATTATTGAATAAATACAAATTGTATATATGTATACGTACATACATATATTTTCTAGAATTTCTATAAAATTTTCAGCAGAAATAAAAAAAAATTGTTCTGATTGAACTCTATATAACTGTTTTAAATTAAAATAAAAACAATTTTGTGGCTTTAAAAATAAATCTAATAAATTGCCTATGTGTGAGTAGTTTGATTTCTACTGAAGACAACTAAAATCCAAAATAGAAATGTTTGTAATTAACTTTGTTAGTACATTTCAATTGTCTACAAATTATAATTTATCGCATTATAAGTATATTATTTACACATTGACAAGCGCAAAGACAGTTTACTTATATTTGTTTTAATAAATTTATTAATCTAAGAATATAATAAAAAGACGAAATATAGATTTTGTGCAATTTTTTGTAACGCGTATATTGTATCATATTTACGAGAAGCGTTGAGTAGGTGAAATTATGAGTTGAGTTTTTTATCTTTATATATCTTTCCCTTTATATCATTCAAATTTCTCTCTTTAACCTTGAAAGTAAAGTTCGAAAGAAGTTCAATAAAGATATCTGGATCCGAAGATATCGAAGACGCGACTTGTCGAGACCGAGAAGTCGCTACGTGACATTGTGAATGATTAGAAGCTTGACGAGAACAGCAGGCCATTTATCTATAGCTATTAGAAGATACGAGCGAAATAATTCTTTGGGGTTTTATACGCAAGCTCCCGAATCCGAAGCCACTTGTAGTGAGGTAGAAAAAGAATAAAAAAATAATTCACGCGAGAAACGTCAATAGCGATTCGAGTCTTATACACCCTCATATTTCAAATTCATCTACGTTGGGGTGCCGCTGGATGATGATTTTTTTTTCTTTGCGTTGACATTAATATTGTCGCGATCGATTTGTTGGAAATGTGACGGCATTTCTTTACGAGAAAAATAATGAGATTAGCGAACACATTTAAATGGAATTATTGATGAATATTACATGAATTATACATTCAATTTGGAATTATATCCGTATAATCGTCATTTAAAATCGAACAAAAAATAAAATAAAATTTGATTGAGAAAAGTTTAACTCCTTTAGAAGAGTTTAATTCTGAAATAATTGTTGAAATTCTCTAGAAGAAGAAATTCTTAGCAAATTCATCTAAAAACTTTATCAGTATTATTTAAATCTTACTTAAATGAAACACAACAATGCAATTTAAATATAAAAGATTTAAAAATAAAAGATTTAACACCTAAGATGACTTATGCATTCTTGTTATTCATTTCATGTTATAATATTTGATCTAATTGCATGTGTGACCTAATAGCCGTGAAAATATACGGAGATAGTTTATAATCGAGTCGTTTGAAATGACTCGGTTAATTTGTCAAGACATAGACACAGTCAGTTTTTTCCTCTCCTCGCATTTGATGATCTCGTTGTCTTGCTGAACGAAATGGTCAGCCTCGAAAAACTTATCAATGAATTCTTTTAGAATTCATTGCGAGTTCGTCAATATCCTATTCGTATCACGTACGAATGATATTGTAAGAATGAAGCATCCTGAAAAGATCTATTACGTGTTCGAGGACAAAACAGAAATAGCATAGAAATTTTCTTCTCTTCGAGATATTCCGAGAAGGCAATGTATTAATAAATCGCATATGATAGAAATGTGAAATCATTTCAGTCCAAAACAAAATTGAGAAGATGTCGAAAGATTTATATGTTTATTTCTGTAAAAGTAACTTAAATTAGTACTTAAATAAGTAATAAATTTTTATTAGTAAAATTCTTTGAATAGAATTAAAAAAAGGAAATTGTGAGAGAAACAAATTTTTTCAAAAAAATATGATATACCTATATTATACACATATATTTTTTAAGTTTCTATTTGCAAAGTTAAGATATTGCTTTGCTAAACATTTAGAAATAAGAAAAATTTAGAAAATAAAACATGCAAGAAAATATCTATATATGCAAGAAAAATTTCCTACAACTTAAATTCGACATTAAATGTCGAATACAATAGAAATTCGTAAAATGATTGAAGTAAATGTCACACAATAAAGCCTTGTTATTATGAATCGATATCGGAGTAAGTTTATGCGAGACCGTAAAATCTGATCAAATGTCTGAATCTTCCTCTCTCTTTTTCGGTTAAAATCGACAAATATTTTCTGATATCTGTGCGTTTCGATAAAAAAACCGATATCATAGACTTTCGTTTCAAAAAAAATTGCGAAGCTTGGCGTTGATGCGGCGATCACATCCCGTCAGAATCGTTCGCATATTGTATTTACTCTCTCTCTCGAAGATTTTTTCTTCCAATCTAAGCTATATTTGAGAATGGCGTTTATTCTTGTCTAATTCTCATATTTTATTTGAGAAATGGACACAGCCATGTTTAGTTTTGCCTCAAATCTAATAGCAATTAATAAAGTCGTAATTTTTTTTAATTGCTTTTCTACGACTTTTATTCGATTTGTCTATCTGGAAACATTCGACCTTTACGCGAAATTTTGCATGACTTTCAATCTTGCTATAATTTATCTCGATTTTGTCACATTATATTTTTATGAAATGGAAGACCTATTATTTAGACAATGACAATAAATTTGTCAAATAATTTGTATTGCAATTCTTATCATGTAAAAATTATTAATTATTAAAATCTGTCAAATATCCTATTTATTCACTTACATACAATATATTTGCAACAATATTTTTAAAGAAATATATTTAATAGCGATATAATTTAATAAATTTTAATTTTAATTTAATAAATTTCAATTAGTAATAATATCATCGAATAATTAGTTATATTAACAATATACTAGTTGACAGTTGATATAGTATAATATTACATGTTCTAATTGAAAGTTAGTAAATTCAGTTAATGCTTGTATGATTTTTACTGCAGAAATTCTCAAAGTTTATGGAAAATATACGACATATGTTTATTCAATAAACAAAGGAAACTTCAAAGAACCTCTCTGTCGTATCGCACTTGCGTGTTTATGAAATTACTTGCATATTATCACAGGCGCAGCAACCCTGATAAAAATAAAAATCAGAACGTAAATCGAATGTAATAGGAATAACAGAAGCGTAAATGAAACTTCTATGAGGCGAAAATTGAAACATCAAATGTTTCTTCGCAGAAGCATAAATGCTTTTTTTACATTTCATTTTCCAATTTCCGCCTTCTAGAAGTTTCCTTTACGCTTCTTATTGCTTTTGTTATTCTCCCATTACATTCGATTTACATTCCGATTTTTATTTTCATCAGGGAAGGTATTTGCAACATTATTCAGATATACGTTATTCAGATACGTTCTGTTAAGCGAAATTCGAAGAATTAAGCATAGATTTGAATGCTTCACGAGATTGCTGCAGGAATGTCTGGCTAAGCATTTGCAATATGCCAGCGGATTCTGGGCGGTTTAAACTTTTCGTGAGAAGAGAACGTCTAGCGTGATACATTTGAATGATTTGCATGTAAAACTATGCGAACTTAGTAATTTTGGATTAAAATATGTAACTGTTTTCAACTGTCACATCTAGCATGCTTCTTAATTCAACTAATTATTCATTATTATTTGATTATCATAAAGTTTCTTAAATTGTGACGTTCGATATATCTCTTTGAAAATATCATCCATTATATGCAAAGTGAATGAGTGACAGTTTAATGACGGATTTCTTGGAGTTAAAATTTTTCTTTAAAGTTTTCCATGTTTTAATTATGTCTTTAGAATCAAGTTTCAAAGTGAAATTCGGTTAAAACTCATTCGGTTGAAAAATTAATAGAAGATTATAGTCTTAATATCTATTTTACTTTTTTCTTTATCGTAAGATATTCAGCAGACCGTGATTCAAAGCATTCGTCGAGACAGGTTGATCAAAAATTCTTCTAATTTTTCTGATTCTACGAGTTCCTTTGGATCATCAATTATTATTCGATGAATCCGTTGATTTTAATAGAAGAATCTTTAATGGATTCTTGAGTACTCGACTTAGAATCAAAATAAACCGGATTTCAATTATCTCAAATCGTGTTCCTAAGAATGCTCGAGCTGCAAGTTGTAATTTCCGATGATCAAAGCAACTGCATCGCTTACCAAGCATGCGAATAACGTTCCTTTGAGCGTTCGTTTTCCCTCTGCTGCTGTCCACGTGATTCAATACACCGTGAATATGATGCCTTTTACTGACGGTGGTGGATAGCAGGCTCGAGCGTCGCAATTTGATGGCGATCAACACGTACAGCACGGTGATGATCGTCATCGGCAGCACAAAGAATAGGATAGTTGAGATCTCAAACGCGTGCTCGATTAATGTCCACCGTAGTGAGCACCTGGCACTGTCCAGGACAGCGGTGTCGTTGTCGGCGTAATCGACGTAATAGACGATACCAAATTGAATAGCCTGTGGTATGGCGAGGCAGAGAGCCAACAGCCATATCGCCACCACAAACTTTATCGCCCGTGATAGTTTCGACATTGTATGTGAAATAAAGGGATGACAGATCGCCACGTACCTGCAGCAGAGAAAAAAAAAGTAGAAATGTTAAAAAAAGAGATGAATATTTTATTTTCAAAGAGACTGAAACTCGTCGATGGTTCTATCCTGCGGGTGTCCGGATTATCGATGTTCACACGCAGATCAAAGATCGGTAGAACTGACAAACTGGCGCGAGCTTTCCATTCTCTCTCTTTCTTTCTTTCTCTCTCTCTCTCTCTCTCTCTCTCTCTCTCTCTCTCTCTCTCTCTCACTCTATTCGTGTATTTTATTTTATCGATTTCTACATCAAACTGATGGTATAGATATTTCAGTTGAAATACCCATATCATCACAGCTATATCATGCATGATTCGTGAAAAAAGAGAAAAAAAAACGATACCGATAGATTAAAATTGAATGATTGGCAGGATATGAGATCGACGAGTGTTTATATATCTATGACAATTAGATTTGATATGCGCGATATATCCTAATATTTCTGAACTCACCTCTCGATAGTGAAGGCCGTGATGGTGAGAACGGTGGCATTAGCCGAGGTCTCTGAAGCGAAGCTCTGAATAATACAGAATGCCTCGCCGAAGACATACGGAAAATGCGACCATATGTAATACATCTCCGGTGGCAATCCGAACACGAGTAGCAGCAGGTCAGACACTGCGAGACTAAAGAGATAATAATTGGTAGCGGTATGCATGGACTTGTTGCGCGCGATCACCACGCACGTGGAGATATTGCCGATTAAGCCGGTGAAGAAGATCACAACATAGATCACTGTGATCGGTAATACGATGTACAGGGAATCCCGGCGGTCCAGCGCGTTTTCATCTCTGAAGAAGGCGATCGTACTCGAGTAATTCTCGTATCGTGGATTTGTGTGAATGATCGTAGAACGAAGCTCCTGAAGATTCCTATCTTTCGAGAGTCTCCACGAATCTCCCGCACCTTGAAGGATACTGGTGATGTTCGCTATCGTACCCGAAATCATCTTGTTTCTTTTATTGAATTCTGATTGGCGAGAATACGCGTCAACTTCGCAAAGAAAGTAAGTAGATTAATATTTGGGACTTCGTGACCGAACTTCAAATCGCCTCAAACGTAGATATCTCCGCACTGCTAGTATTTCTGCAATTTTTGTAGCTTAATCTTATCCATAAATATTATAGATCATATCATTGAGATGATTTATTCTATGGAATGCAATTACGATGTCTTCTCTGAACAGTATTGATGGTTTCGTGAAGATCCATTGATCTCAGTTTACACAGATATTCTTGATAATTTTCAGTCTACATCTTGTGAATATTTTTACGAGCTGAATGGCTTCTCGCGATAAGATCCTAGCACTGCTTACCTTCGTGTTGATCTGAAATTATAAGTATTTTTTTTTTTCAATTTGAAGACGACTGATTTACGTTTTGCGTAGGCGAACAATATAATCATAAGCCGAGTTTTGAATATTATCGTGTACTTGATCTTCCGCATTTAGCAAAAAATATTTTGCTGATCCAGTTAGAATTATAATTGTTTTTTGTATCTAATAGAAAGTTATGTATCGTATGCATAGAGTTTATAACACAAATCTAAATTCTATTTCTGTCATCTATATGATTAGATGCAATACATATTCTATATCGCAGTACTTACTAGAAATTTATCTATTTTAACTATTTTTCGTACTTAGATAATTTTCGCTGTAACTGTAAGATCACCTTTTTGAGTAAGTAACGTTGTATAGAAAATAGTATGACTGATGTTATTGATAGCGATATCCACCGATTAATGAGAAGATAATTCGTGTCCTCTCTGATGCTCTCTTCGATTAATTTCGGTCAATGTGCAAAAATTAAAAAGCCGCCTGTAAATTTCTCAATTAGACCAACGTGTAATATTGTTCTCTTTATTACACGTTTTGCGGTCGATATATAACGCAAATTTTTGTTAGCGCAAAGATTTAATAATATCAACATTATAATTTTATATTCAATGTAACTATTACGTAATAAAATATGTTCAATTTATTTTGTTGAACGCAAAATTAGATTATATTACTTTAGTTATATTACTTTAGTTGAGGCCGACTAGGACGTTTAATACCGTACACGGAAAGAACAACTTTGCTAAAAGATCCATAAATTTAGCTAGATTATAAATCTATGTAGCCAAATTTATATCATCATAAATCTATAAATTTAGACAGAGCTGAAAATAATTTTATTGGATCATAAAAATAATTACGTAAGAAACTCAAGCTATATTACGACGTGACGAGCTATATTAAAAGTTTTTCTTCTAAAGACCGGAGCACAAACCTCTGCATAATGCATAATGCATAAGGCATAAGAAAGTCAACCAATCAGAATCTTTTCATGAAAAGAAAAGGAATGAAAGATTTTGGTTGGTTCATTTTCTTTTGTATTATGCGTTATGCAAATGTCTGTGTCGCAATCTTATAACCGATCACTCAGTTTGAGCATAAAATATACCTACATATTTATTCTGACGGTCTAAGAAAATTATTTTCAGATTTGCATCCAGCTAAATTTTTAGATATTTTAGTTAAAAAACTGTTTTTTCCGTGTATCTCTAATCGTTTGAAATACGAAATAAGCCGGTTATCTCGCTACCTCTTTGATGAATCTCGCAATCATCTCATTTTAGTCAATTATCCATGTCAGTTATGTTAATTATATGATAAATCCTAATGTAGTTGCTAATGCAGGCATCTGCCTGTGACGTGTACGCTATGTGCACACATTGTAAGCTTTATTCATTATGTCTATTTCTAATTTCCGCGAACACTGCCTTTCATAATGATGTCATTAATGCTTAAAATTATTTACGAAATTTGTCATTAATGAGAAGTGAATATCTTCAAAAAGATCTTGATAATATGTGATGTGATTTCCAGTCATATATGATATTCTTGTCCGTTAACAAATATCCGTTTTCCACATTACAATTATATTAATTGCTCTGACAAGAGCATTTTTCGAATAATATATACTCTACCCTTTTAAAGCATTGCCTTTAATCTGGTCCTTTTCTCAGCCATACATGTGCTCCATCACCCATTCAATCTTCAAAGTATCATGTTTCTCTAAAAACGACAAATGCTACGGAGATAGATATATATGAAATGCGATAATCCTGTTAATCGAAATGAAATCACGGCATTAAGTAAGCAAAAATAGTCTGACATATAAATATAAACTGATATTTTTTTGTATATTGCAACTTTTTATATATTATAGTACATTT